AATCTGTCATACATAAGATGCTCACAGCTCATGCTCTTCCCAGGCCAGCCACTCTAGCTCGTATACGCTCAAGTTAGGATGCACTTAGAATCTAAACTAGTTCTTTGTAGGTATTAAAATCAGTAAATAAGTAACTAACTTAATTTCATTCATTTACATTAATTCATTAATTATGGTAATTGCAGAAGTCCTCACAACTAGAGCATGTCAGCAGTTGTTGGAACTAAAAGCCCACATCCATCAAAGACTTTGGTCTCACGCCATTGAAAGCCATGAGAAGCTCATACCAATCCCTCCCTCAGTGCAGCTCTGTGGAGGATGCTAAAGAGAGAAGCACCTTAAAGAAAGTCTTGAGGAAGCCAACAGGGGGATAATTGTGTTAAATATGTGATAGAAATACAGATTTGACCCCATTTATGTATAGCTAGATTTATCCTTGTGTCAGGAACCATATTTTGGCATGATCACATATCAAATGGCTGTTTATAATGAAAAGCTTTCTAGAAAGAATGTTCCCACCCTGCCCACCTCTCACTCAATTGAATTTCAAGTAAAGTTTAATACTCTGTCTTGGTTTCCCAAGGTGATGGAGCATAGGCAGGCAACCCATCTTACCCGAGGGAACTTTTGAATTACACAAATGTTTCTAATTGGCACAGACACGTTGCTAATGGGAGAAAGCCTGCCTGGGGTGTGTGTGGGTGTGTATGTGCCATGCTTGTGTTGAGTATGTGGGTGGGTGTGTGTGTATTCCAACGAGCACACATTCCCACACGCTTCCAAGACTGATGCTGTGAGTGTGTGTGTGTCTGGAGTTCACAAGATCTACTGTGATACAAAACTGAGCTAACTGTGAGAGGGGCTGGCACCCTGATGTTCAGCAGTGGCCATGCTGAGATGGGCAGAGGTGGACAGCTGGTTTCATACTGGGACTCAATGCCAGGGCAGCAGGCCCACACTCCCGCCAGGAACATCGAACAAGCGGCTGGAACATGTAAATGGAACAGAGATGAACTGTGTGTGTGTCAGATCCTTGATTCTCTCTCAAATATGCAATAGAAAAGTCATGGTAGAAAAAAACAATAGAAAGTCAACGGAATCTCCCTCCCTTTTGCAGCCCCAGCTTAGCCCAAGCTCTCGGTTTTTAGACCTGAGGGAAAAAAAAATCTTGTTTATTTTTTCATTACTGTCCATCTCACGCTCCTGTCTTTTCCTAGTGTTCGACAGGGTATTATTTAAAACAAGACGCCTCTCAGCTTCAAAAAGAAAACTCATTCTGTAAAATACAGCTTGGACCCATTTGCTGGTCGTTCATCATACCTCAGACAGTGGGGTGCGTTTATCTATATTGGGGATATTTTAATGGCTCACAGTGCATGTGCTCCCTTTGGCACCGAAACACAGGGGAGCAGCAGTTCCATGACTTTAAGAACTGCCCCCAACTGGTCTAGAGTGGCATGGGGGTGGGGGGAAGACATGTGCAAAGCAGCTGCAGAACCAAGTGCCTTCAACTGTGGTGGAAGCCGAGGACTGGAGGCTAAACTCAACCCAGGCCTAAGGTTTTCTAAGAGGAGGCGAAGTCTTCACTGCCATACCATAGTATATGTTTTTTCTCTCCACTGGTTTTTAAAAGCCCTGGTTTGATGTATCTTCCATTTACTTCAGATGGCAAATAACAAAGTGCCCAGTGTGGTGCTGGCACAGAGTCAAAAGCTAATAAATATTTGCTGGGTGAATAAATAGTTAAATGGAATGTTATTAGCGTTGCTGGTGTTATTGCCTTGGCTTGGAACATACAAGAACAGACTTGAGGCAATCAAGTAATTTCCCTTCACCAGTACAAGCTAATTATTTGAGAGATGAAGATCTGGTACACACTATATATCTGTCAGGCTCCATTTGCTCCTAATTAAAGGTGGGACCCACTTCAGCAGGGCTTTTGAATTTTCCATGCCTTGATTTGAGGGACATGTGAAGATGGACTTACCATGCACACACCACCCCGCCACCCACCCACCCCCACCCCCACACACACCTCAGCCTTTTGCTTCCTTTTCTCTGTTGTTTCCTAGAGGGCAGGCCAGGTACAGGGGAAGCAGGTCCTTTGACATCACTTCTCAGGGCCAACTGGCTCCATGACTTCTGCTAGCAAATATATCATCCTCCCAATAAAAGTCATGTGTGATGTTCCAAGACAAAAATGATAAATTTTCTCCATAAGCCTTGGGGGAATGAGTGATCATTCATTCAGTCCTTCCTTCCTTCATTCATTCATTTCATATGTAATTATGTGTTAGTCTGTACTCAAGTTGGAATATTAACATTTAACAAAACCCAAAGATACCTCTATTCTCATGATTGGGTGATTAATGGATATTAGTGAAATAATCATCCGAAAAATTATATAGAGGCCAACCGGTATGGCTATAAGAGGAGAGATTGGGGCTGGTGGTAAAGCAAGCCTAAAAGGTCTGTTTAGTATGTGTAGATTTGAGAATGTATCCCTCAACAAATACAAAGAGAGAGGAGATAACCAGCCCTGGATGACCCAGATACCCAGTCCTGGATGGCCCTGTGCTGCAGGAAACCTAGAAATTCTCACAAGTCACCTCCCTTCCTCCTAGGACAAAGTGCTTTCCATCTCCAGCTGCCTTCTGAGTGCCAGGCACACATGTCTGCTTTTGTACCCTGCAGCATGACCTCTATCTTGGCAAGTCAGTCCACTAGCCCTTTCTTTTCTCTCTGCCTTTCCTTTTGATGATGGGGAAGTGCCATAGCACAATTAATCCCTGCTTCTGGGTATGGGTGAATGGTGTGGTTTCCCACACTCACTTTCCTATTCAGAGAAAGGCATCTGCCCCTCATCAGCATCCATGCCTGAGTATGGGTCTTCCCCTTTGTACTATCCCTATAATACTGTTCTGAAACCTATGGACTTAATACTTAGAAAACATAAAGTGAGGATAGGCCCATGCTTAATTAACGCTGGTTGTCCGTATTAGCTACTTCTATGGATACCAAAGTGGTAAAAAAAAGTAACAGAAGCCAATATACAAAAAAACACAGTAGAAAGGGTCGGCTCAAACACCCTACATCATGGCCTGAAGGTACATGCCAGTGCCAAGAGGAATGGAAATAGAGCGTAAAGGGAGAACTTTTCACAAGGTACTCATGGGATTTTTTTTAAACTATGAAACTGCATGCAAATGTGTGTGCGCACATGCACACACACACACACACACACACACACACACACACACATAGCCCAGTCTGGCCTTGAACTTGAAAGCTTCCTGCTTCATCTTCTTCAGTGCTAGCACGACATGCATGCTGTATGTTTTCATAATGAAACTTATAAAAATAGCTTAGCAAGCCTGTTGGCATTATCCACTAAGTCAACTTAAATTAAAACACAACTTCAACATAATACCCTTTATATTTTCTTTTCCCTTTAAATTGGGAAACAACATTCCGGCTAAGGAAAAGAGGCAGTATCTGAACCAATTCATCCCAAGTCAAACATTCACTATGATTTTTGCTGGTACAATTATCCCACCTGTTTCTCCCGTTCTGCATATGCAAATGTGGGTTTCTGGAATGCTGCTCGACCACCAGGACAAACAACACATCTGGTTCCAAGTGGGTGACTTCACTGTACTCTTAAGCATGGCTTGAATTTTTTATAATTAGTGTTTTAAAAAAAAAAACAACCAATGACATCACCTCTCAAACACAGAGATGAGGAGTATCAGTTCATGGTTCCGTTTAGTAGTAAACACAGTGCCCACACTCTAGTCTTTCCCAGGATGCAGGAAGCTTACCTTTCTCCAGACTGTCCTTAGCAAACCCTCCCTGTCCTAGCAGTGGCTACTGCTCAGGTTGCGAGGTCAGTGGGTCAAGATACAGACAACAGCTGTGGACGATCTATAGCAACACAGAGCTCCATCCTACCTGCCTTTGGAGGCTCTTGATGTTTAAGGAAAGATTTGGTTCCCCGAGCTGGTTGAGACAGACTGACATGTCATCGAGAGTGCCTCTGTGCCCATCTGAAGGCTGCTCTTCTGTATCTCAACAATGTTCAGCTCTGTCATCTGATAAGACCACAAATCTGGAGAGAACTTGAGCCCACTAGTTTTCGTAGAGCTTGCCGAGGAGACTCTCATGTCCTCCCAGGGTACATTTCCAAGGAGTAACTACATTGCCCAGGCTCACTTCCATATCTCCTAGAGCTGCTTGGGAATTAGAGTGGCTGAACTGAGAGACTGGGGTTCACATCGGTGAAGAGTCTGATAGGACGGGCTTGCCTCTGCTCTAGGTTCAGGGGGAAGCTATTGCTGTGCAGGCCTGGTTTGTAATGAGGGAAGTTTCTTGGTGGACATGTACTGGCCTGTTGATTTGGCCATCACAGAAGGTGATGTGCAACACCACAGCTCATTCTAATTTCCTTGTCAGTAGGGTCACTGGGAATGCCGTGGTAATTCGAAAGAATTTCATATTACCTTCGGATTGCCAAGGCTGACTTGACTCCAAAATTAATATTAGTTATTTTCTTGCATGCTAAAATTGGATGTGTTCTCTTCCTTGCATCTGACAATTCTTGTGACAGACAAAACGTTTTGTACATGTGGTCCCTGCACACGGGTGAGGGTCGGAGCCCTCCACCTCATGCCGTTAGTATGTTAAATGGTTTCACTTGGTTTGTACTTACATTTTGCTATCAGTAGGCCATGATGAATGATGGTACCATAGGAAATACCTTTTAGTAAATCTTGATAGGATCCCCTGTGCATTTGTTATAACAGTTAACAGAACTAACAGTGACCCTCCTATCCATCATAATACACTTAAAAAGTAAAATTCTACAAAGCTATCCACTCACAATAGCTGCTGTAACGATAGTACCAAAAAATACAGAACTGAAAGTATGAGTCGTTTTGCTTCAATATCCCCACTGTGTACATGAGTGACTCAGCTTTTCCTCTTCTTCTATTCCGTTTCAGAGACTGAAGGCTGCGTTGACTCACCATCCTGCTGCCATGTCAAACGGGAACATGAGCACCATCGGACACATGATGGAGATGATGGGCTCCCGGCAAGAGCAGACGCCGCACCACCACATGCACTCACACCCGCATCAGCACCAGACACTGCCGCCCCACCACCCCTATCCACACCAGCACCAGCACCCCGCACACCATCCCCACCCACAGCCTCACCACCAGCAGAACCACCCGCACCACCACTCCCATTCCCACCTTCATGCACACCCAGCCCACCACCAGACCTCGCCACACCCACCCCTACACACGGGCAACCAAGCACAGGTACGCTTTGACCAGCGTTTCCTCAAACTTCCTGGCCTTGTTAACCGCTACAGCACTAACTCAGCAGTCATCTGTCAGCTACGTTGTTTGATAAGCCTAGGGACATCCTGGGGAGCTCTGTGAATTTCCTAGGAGGTGATTATCAACAATAAGACAGGGTTGGGTCATCGTTTCTATAAACGATAGTAGAAAATACCAGCTTCAATCTCTAGGAGCAAATGAAAACTGTAAGCTCTCCAAAACCTATATTTTTACAAGCATGTCATAAGTTTGTCCTAAGAAATAGGTGATACTGATAGGAGGAAAACAGAAACGTAAGCTCCCGATGAAAGATGTGAACAGTTGAACTGACAGCTAGAGAGCTGAAGAGTATCAGTCCCTGCAGATGAACCTCATCAAGGAATGCAAGGGTCCAAGGTACAGGAGAGACGGCGAAAGCTGACTCATCCCTGAGAGGGCAGCATCTTAGAGGAGGCAGCGAGGCAGCCAAGCTCTGCAGATGACCAGACCAAGAGAAAGGTCAAATCCAAGGGACGGAGAGTCACCACGGCTAGCCAGGAAGAGAACAAGCATGCAGCATGCACTTAAAGAGAATTGGGGGACCCCGCAGATGTTATGTCACCCAGGCTAAGACGACAAGCAAGGCCCTGTACAAGACTGGGTTTTCCTAGGTAGATGAAGGACATGTCCAAGAGTGTGGTGAGCCCTGGTCACTTTGGGGCTTCGAGCAAGATGATTTTCCCAAGTCCTCTCTACCCATTTCACACTGTCCAGCCCCAACCCGCTGCGTCAGAATGGCGTCGGAAGCTAAGGTCTGCCAAGGAATGCTTATTAGCTCTCTCCTTTGCTTTCTGCCTCTGGAGCCAAGCTCTAAGACCAGGCGATGCTTTGAACTCTAGAGTTCCCTGCCCTAACAAATGAAACCCAAACCAGGAAAGGTAAGAGCGTAGAGGTGGGGACAGCCACAGGCAGCATATCCTGTCCATTAGATTAATTTACCTTTGCAAAGGTCCTTAGTGGTGCTCTACATAGCAAGAAGAGTTGAGCTGTACAGTACAAAACCAGTTCTTGACTAATGTTGGTGATTGTGGGCAGAGGGATGGATTAACCCTCAGCTTTCCCAATCAGCAAAGCAGTGATACCGACTGATTAAATGTGTAGACCCTCATGAATATGAAGTCACCGAGGGTCTGTAAAGTTTTCTAAAACATGCTAGCCGGTTTCAGTTCTAAACTCAAACAAAGAAGGTTAGCAAGCAGCTCAGAAATAAAATGTTCCCCTGAGCGTATTTTTATTCACATTTTAGTCAACTGTTGTACGCATCGAAAAGGAGAAAGAAAAGCCGCCTCAAAGGCAGTCTGTCCAGTCTGAGTTCATTACTGACGTATAGGACATCAAGGTTTGGACACCTTTCTGGGCAAGTTCTTTCAGAGACAAGTTAACAGTTTTATAAATATGAAAGCCATTCATTAGCTAAGTGCCAATTAGCCAATTGCCCTGTTTCAAGTCAGTAAGTGCCCAATTGTATATGCAATTAGCTAATTGCTATTATAATTAGCTATACCTAGATTTTCTTTTTTTAAACCTTATTCTAGGAAAGAAAGACTCCATATCTGTAGATCATTTAGTCAGTATTCTAAATTACCACACTTAGGTTATATATGCACATGACTGATTCCTGACAAGATTCTGTCAAGTTTCTTTAATTGTATGATAGTCTGAACAGGAGATACAGAGAACCTTAGAAGGTCCTTCCAATTCTGAGAGTCTACGTCAATTTGGGACAAAGTTTGTCTTCTTCAAATTGCTGTTCATTATTTTTGGTTAAAATTTGCAAAACAAATTCTGCCAAGAGACTATTACCACCTTGTACATGAAAGTCATGGCGATTAACAGGGTTACAGGTTCTAGTTTTAACTTATAGCTTCAAATTCTACCAGCTTCCTGCGATTTTCCTACACAGTTTAGGTGTGAGTTCAAATCCTTGTGACACTTGATGGTCACAAGCAATATTTCTTAGCTGATATTCCCCTAGCCCAAGCCCTGGGCCTACACTGGGCCTGAACTCACTCTTAGCACACAGGAAAGGTACAGGAAAGGTATCTGAGTGTAAGGTAGATTGAGGTTAGGGGAACAGGACATAGCATTCAGAGCTCCTTGCTGGAAAGAATAAAATCCAGTTTGGCTTAAATTCCTCTTGTATAGGACTGGTAGCAAGAGATCACACACACACACACACAGAGAGAGAGAGAGAGAGAGAGAGAGAGAGAGAGAGAGAGAGAGAGAGAGAGAGAAGACATTAGAACAGGCTTGTGGCAAAAGCCAGTGTGCTTGTTCCCACTGTCTGCTTCTGCAGGAGTTGGCTCTGGGGTTAGCATCTGAAATGAAAGTATGCTACATCTTGGCTAATGGCAAAAAATTATATCATCACCAGTCACCCCAGTGAATAAGACCTTAGAAAATTAATTTGTTTTGTTATCCCTTTGTGATTGGGCGGGAAGGAATGGTCAATAAAGAATTTCAGAAAATGTCTTTGCTTTAGATAAAATTACCGAGATGCAGTCCCACTGACCTCCCAAGCCTGATTCTTTTACAGTTAGTCATAGAAGGTTTGACAAGAGTTTAGGACTGAAATATATCATCATCATTCAACTGACATCAACCCAAAGCCACTATTGGTGCAATTACGGTCATTCTGATTGATTTCAATCATGGTGTTTGAATGTGCTAGAAAAGGGCTTTGAGCTTCCTTTTTGAAAACCTTTTCCCTGTTATTTCTGTAGGTTAAATGTCTCTTGTAAAACAACTTTATAGGTATTACAACCGTAAACCTGGGTGACTGAGAGACAGGAGAGGGGGGCAGGAGTGAAGGGCATTAGCGAGAGCATTAGGTGTCCAGACATATAAAGAGGGAGTCATAGAAACTTCACAAGGGTCTGTGTGTCTGCCTCTTAGAGGGAAATAAAGCTGTCTGTGTGGGGGTCTCTAACCTTTCCGTGTTGTGGAGTCCCCCATAGACCTTACAAGGAGTCTACAAACTTAGTAAAACTTTTTAATAAAGTATGTGACCACTCATAGGATTTCCTTATAATGTAGGTATGTGTTAGGCAACCTGTCCTCACTGTCTCACAGGTACTGTGTGTAACAGGGAGGACTGCTAGCAACACTTGCTAGCTGTCCAAGTCTCGGTCTCGAGTTCTACAAACCTCTCAGGAGACTCCCTCCTCTTTAATCAGAGCCCTGAGGACCATGCAGACCACGCCCACCTGTGGTCTCTAGAGGAAACGGGAAAGAGGAGCTAGGCTGCCTTCTGAATCTGCCAGGCTCTTCTAGAGGAGTCCAGGACTGGCAGTGTTCCACAGGTGTGCCCCACTGAGGACATTTTAAACACATGTGGAAGTAACAGAGCCCACAACCTGCCATACAGTTTTTCTGTGAAAAAAACAAAAGTAAAACAAAACAATCACGACAATAACATTGTCCTTACCTGTTTCAACCCAGTAGCCATCCGCTACCGAATTAATGCTCTTTAAAGCATCTTAAATAAAATGTTTTTAATACCTGAAGGAGAAACAAATGTCCCTACCCCACCCTGTGCACCCCAACATGCAAGCAGCACCACCGTGATTCTCCAAATGTCCTGCAGGGAAAAATTCGCCTGCTTGTGTCATCGAGCCTAATACATGGACTGCAGCTCAAGGACTCTTGCTCTCACAAGTGTGATTTCACGGCTTATCTCATTCCCTAAGAACGGGTTTCATGTGCTTACTAAAAACACAACTGGCTTCCTGAGCTTTGCTCTTGTAACACTGGCTTGGGAGACTTCCCTAGCAAAGTTGTCCTTCCCTGACCCTATCATTTCTTCCCTCTCCTTCCCCTCAGGTTTCACCAGCCACACAACAGATGCAGCCAACCCAGACAATACAACCGCCCCAGCCCACAGGGGGACGCCGGCGAAGGGTGGTGGATGAGGACCCGGATGAGAGGCGGAGGAAATTTCTGGAAAGGAACCGGGCCGCCGCCACCCGCTGCAGACAGAAGAGGAAGGTCTGGGTGATGTCACTGGAAAAGAAAGCTGAAGAGCTCACCCAGACAAACATGCAGCTTCAGGTGCGGCCCCATCCCGTCCCCAGGCCTCGTCACAGCTGGCGTTTCCTGCCCTGAGGCTTGTTGACCCAAGCATCCTACCACACACCTGGCCTCAGAGGAACCCAGGCCCTCTGATTCAGCATCATTAGGTAGTTCGGTACCATCAGCCTTCCCACTATTAGATGAGGAACGCATGGGACCAAGCACAGAATCAGGGCTTTGTGCCTTGGTTTGGTGGCTTCTGGTTGTGTTTAAGCGGTCTGGCTCTCTGTTTCCGCATCTATAATTGGGGAACAACTTTACAGACTTGGAGGTAAAATGTGAACCGATGTCCACGGTGCAGTTAGCGTGGTCCCTGGCACAGAAGGCTCTTCATCTGGAAGCCATCTAGTGTGGGCACCAGGCATAAACCCAATTGTCTATATTTTTATTTTTAACGGAAAAATATTTTATGTCTTGGCGTTGTGTTAGGTTTGTTTGCTCTAAAAGTAAATACCTATTTCCATCTCGATTCCAACCTCAGTAATGTTGGAATCTTGTGTGATTTTTGCTTTCCAGGGGTAGCTTAGCTAAGAACATCTTTAAAGAATCTGCTTCTGGGATTGTCCTGGGCGAAGAGGAGAGGAACTAGTGTACTGGGTTTCTCGGGAGAACTCTCAGTTCACCAGTGATGCCATCCAAGGTGTTTGTTCTAACATCAGGAAGGTTCTCCCAAGAAAATGCCAATTAAATCAAACCAGGTCCTCTCAGGGCTGAGCTATGGGCATAAGGAAGAGGTTAAGGTGACCCAACGAGAAAGACTGTACACCTTAGAAATTGATAGTATCTCCAGTTTGGTCTCAGAATATTTACAGCAGATTTTATTTTATTTTAGACAGGGTGTTGTGTAGCCTCCCATTGGCTTTGAACTTGCTATGTATCTAAGGATGACTTTGAACCTCTGATGCCCTTGCCTCTAGTTGAAGAGTACAGGCACTGCAGGCATGTGATATCAGCGCTCAATTTCCTGTGTTACTGGGGATCATGGCTAATGCCAGGCAAGCTCTTTGCCACCTGAGCCACATCCCCGGCCATCTGTGCACCCTTTCAAAAGAGCACTTGTGATGTTAAAATCCAGTGTCTTTGCATTGTGGGCAGTATTAAACGGACAGGATCCATGGCACCCAGTGTACAAATCCAAAGCATATAAAGGAAGACTGGTGTATCTCTGGGCTGAATTCCATAACTTATAGGCATTCATCTCCCCCAGACTGAAATTTATCACCCTGTTTGTGATAGACAAGATGAAACTATCTTGCATAAAAATAAGGTCATATACCGGTTCGTGCACATAGTTTGGGGCAATGTCTCACTACAGCCTCCCTGTTGGCTGTTCCCTGTTCTAGCCTAGGTCCTGCACTCTTTTGAATCATTGAATGAATTCCCTATGTCTAGAGTGTTCTCAGACTGGATGCCTGACCGACTTGGTAAGGCTTTGATTGCAGAGTCAAACCACAAAGCAGTGTCTGGAGCTAAAAACACTTTGAAAGCCACTTCGGTACTCAGGCAGGCAGGGCAGAGGAATCCGTGAGAAACCTTTAACAGGAATGCACGTAAGCATTTTAGCATTCATGGATACATTTTCACTTTGACATGTGTTTAACATGTTATTGGGGAATAGAGAAATGGACTAGCAGTTAAGCGTTTGGTTTCCAGCATCCATATAGAGAGTTCATGTCTGCCTGGACCTGTAGTTCCAGGGCATCTAACACCCTTATCTAGCCTCCATGAGTGCCTTGCTCCCATGACACTCATTCATGCAGACATACACGTACATATAAATACATTTTTAAAATTAAAGTATGCTATGTAAACATGTTAAAAAGTAAAAGCTCTGGACTGTGCAGTCCCAGCATCCATTGTGACACTGGCTGAGCCATGATTGAAGTAGGAAATTCTGACCGTCCTGAGGGCTGCAGGAGGATGGTAGAAACCCGTGGGGTTTCCAGTTTAGGCTCTACTGACTCTGGGAATCTGTTTTATACCCTGTGCAATTTAGGGTGTTCCACGGTATCTTTGACTTTTACATGCTAGAATCAGGAGAAAAGCCCTCCCTCTGTTGTGACAAACCGCAATGTCTCCAGACATTGCCCTTGCCCCTGGTTGGAGCAGAGCATGTGGTAATACAAAAATCATCTTCCATTGAGTGCAAGCCCTTTAAAACAGAGCCATGAATAGCCAGCAGGCACAGGTCAGATACAAAACCTTAAATCAGGGTGAACTAAAATGAGTCCTTACAGATTTACTCCAGGATCTTTGCTGAGAAGAGTCATAGCACAGAGCCACACAGAAAGATGCCCTTGAGTTTAAGGTCAGATGTGTCTGTGGCTTGACATACACTTATTTATGACTGCTTTCAAGAAACATACAAAGTACATTTACCCTTTACTAGACACTAATTCACTGAGTGTGTGTGTGTGTGTGTGTGTGTGTGTGTGTGTGTATGCATGCACACTTAATATTTTAGAGCCCAGATAGCCAAGACAGCCAAGAAAAAGGTACTAAGTCTTAAAAACTAGGATAAAAAAAAATAGTCTTTGCAAGTCTGTGCAGTAGGCACTTGTATCTTTTGGCTACAAAAGAGAAAGGGGAAGGAGAATCTCTAAAACACCACTTACTGATGTTTTTCTGTCACTGTTTGCTACAGAGGGACCAGAGGCCCAGAAGGCATAGCAGTCCCATGGTCTCTGTTATATTGTGTACTGTGGACCATGCCCTGTGATGCAGGAGAGGATGTCACAGTCTCAGCTACCTTTGAGTGACCCTTTTCCTCTCGCTGTCAAAAGAAAAAGGTGTCTTTCTTGAGACTGGCTCCATGAGCCAAATTTTAAGTAAACAGAAATAGAAGGTGCTAAGCAAACAGACTCCAGCCAAGTGGAATCTCCAAGGTCTGAGTGGGCAGCCGCCACTTTTGAGTTGTTTTCCAGAATAGAACCTTCTAGCTAGACTTCTGCAGACCTTCTGATTGGAAAAACAAGACCCAGGAAAATAAAGGCAGACCTCAGTTTTAGCTTCACAGTAAATCTCTGCCCAAGAGGTCATCACAGGTTTAGGATTTAGAGAAATTTAGAAAATGCCCAATCTGACATGTCACAATATGGAGAAACTGAGGTCTGGGGAGATAAGCAGTCAGCCCAAATGTCATACGACCAATAAGTCTCAGACCGGGGACTTGGGCAAATCGCCTGTGCCCTATACTGCTTTGACATCTTTCATTCTATGACACTGGTGAACCAAAGGAGTCTGTCTCCTTCTACTGCAGTGACAAATCTCTGCTCATGTGGTGCTCCTAGGTTGCTTGCGTTCAGTGGGGATATGGAAATCATCTGGTCACCCACTAAAGTAATTGCTTTTCCTTTTTAGTGCAAAGACACATGGTCTAAGTTGATGCTGAAATTTTAGACACACGAACCCGGGTCTGGGACTTGGCAAGGGAGCGGGCCAGATGGAAACTGTTGCTTGACAAATTGAAAGTCCTTTGTTTCTGAGGGACCAAACCTGCCCTCAGCTAATCTGAAAAAGGGGGCTGGGATTCTGGGCCCTTTGTGATAATTATGTTTTTGGCACAAACTCCAGCTTATACCAAAAAAAAAAAAAAAGTATTGTGGATTTGTCATATAACAGAAACGACATCACCAAAGCCCCAAGCTGTAAATGTGCCTGTCAGGGAATTCTGAACGTGGAGTTTGAAGGATGCTGTTGCAGTGTGGGACACCTCCGTGGGAGCCCTGCTTCACCCCCAGGCAGATTTAGAGGTTTAAAAACACATCAGTGTGACAGGATCCCCCTCTTACCGTCATTATCTAAATAGCTAACTGCTTTAAGAACAGCAACCCCAAAGTCACACTACAACTGAAAAAAAGAAAGGGCTGACTTCAGTCAGAGAGTGTGTATTTATTATTTATACTTTTTTAAAAAACTGTATCTGAGCACCTAAGGAGAATGCTGCTTTTCCTTTTTCCTGTGAGCTTGTTGGTTTGTTACAACCAACAAAGGTAAACCTGAAAGGTGAGTTTTCCTCTGTTGATAAAGTAAGGCTATGCCTCCCTTAGTTCGGCCTTTTATTTCCCTGCTGAACTTCCAGGCCAAATCTGACTCCACTAATGCATTTTTTTTAAATAGTCGCTATCTGATTTTTCTCTTACAAAATGAATTCAAGGTGATTCTAGTCCTCTTACCTTAAAAAGATTCTGACTAGAAGCCTAGTCTAGAGTTTGTGTATTTCCTGCTTCTGTCTTTTTGAATCTGGAGTCCTTAGATCCATGTCTGTGCAGAGTATCTCAGATAATCTCCTTTCTCTAGGACATCAGTTCTTGACCTTTGTCAAGTTAAGGGCCCTTGTGACATCCAGTGAAGGGTTCGGAAACTCTTTCTCAACACGAGTGCATATGTGGACATACGGGTTTTGTTCTCTCTGAAATGAAACCGTGGCTCGTGCACTGTGATTTGCACTGGTAAGATCTGGTCATGCAAGAGTTACTGGCATTGGCTTCCTCATGAGACACAAGGCCTGGAGTATACACATCCGTGATATACTGCCCAGGGCAGTTCACTGACAACTGAAGATCAAGATCGGTTTCTTCATTAGGATAGTTAGGCAATTGTAGCCACAAAATCTCTATAGGATGCAAAGCTGTCTTCCTGGGAAGAACTAAACTAGGCCAGCCATCTTGTTTTGGACTTCAGTGGAATGATTTGGAAAGTCGGCCCTGACCACTGTCATTGGTACTGGCGTCATTTAGTTTGGTTTGCAGTTCTGGGGATGCAGCCCAGGGCCTTGCCCATGCCAGGCAAGCACTGTACCACTGGGCCACACCTTCAGCCCCCATGATTATTCTCAACCCTAGGAGCAAACTGCTTTTTGTTTTTCCTGTGAACGTCCTGTGCATGAATTGCAAGGCTATTAGGCTGTTGCTTCTTCCCCCACTGCATCAGAGTAATGTGTATTGAGCTCAGGGGCTGCTCGATTCCCCTCTGTTAAGGTTATTAACTGATACTCACTTCTCAACCATGACGTGACCTAATAACATAATTAGTTAACATCAGAAATATGTGCATATTCAAGTATATCCTTAAATGACGGTCTGTTTTTAAAGCACTGTATATTTTTAGATATACTTTGTCTTCTCTACATGTATGTATATGCACCATGTACATGCCTAGTTCCCATGAAAACCACAGAGGACATTGTTTAATCGTCTGGAACTAGAGTTAATAGATGGTTGTGAGCGAGCTGTGTGAGTCCTGGCAACCCAAATCAGGTCCTCTGCAAGAACAGTAAATGCTGTTAACCCCTGAGGCATCTCTCCAGTCCTGATTCTTACATCCTGACAGAACTTTACACCACTCAAGATCTTAGTTTCTCTACTTGCAGCTCACTGGTGTATTAACAAAGTATTTTGCTATTTGTGGACAAAATGATGCTCTCATGTACTTTGATAGTGCTTTATTGATAGGCATGAATGTTTATTCTGTTTTATAGTAAAATTTCTTTGCGGAAGCAAAAAGTGTATTGTGAAAGAGTTTGGGATGTGCTCCCGTAATGTTGGAGAGCATTACCAGTGTTTCAAAGGTAACCAATGAACACACCCTGGCAAGAGCTCAAGTGCTGCCAAGACACAGTCATTGCCCAGGACACAGTAGGGGAAAAAATGGAACCTGAAGTCACCATCTCCAAAATGGCCACCAGACCTCAAAGGAGTTTGGTTTTTAATTCAAGAAGTGTTAAGAAAGCAAAAGAATCCAGTTTGGTTTTTGTTTTTTAATTTTAAAACTATATTACTTCTCTGGTTGGTTGGTTGGTTGGTTGGTTGGTCGGTCGGTTGGCTGGTTGGTTGGTTATGGTGGGATTTGCATGTGCCATGTCATACACATTGAAATCAGAGGATAACTTGTAGATGTTGATTCTCTCCTTCTGCCATATGGAGTCTAGAGATTGAACTCCAGTTATCAGCCTTGGGGGGCAAGCACCTTTACCCATTGAGCCATCTCACCAGCCCCCAAGTTTGGCTTTTTATACCTCGCTAGTTGTTTTCTGGGCCACAGTAAAGAAAGTGTGAGTTCTCTGTGATGGTTTCTACGTTTCATTGTCTACATCATCTGCAGCTGCCCGTTTTGCTAGGGTATCCGGAATGGTGTGTTCAGAAACTCGTCAGTGCTGAAGTATGCGTATGGTGGGACATTTCATCTCGCTGTGTGCATGCACAAATGTAGGCACACCACAATTCTCTGTTTCAGCTTGAGTGGTTTTATTTTATTTTTTTAACGTATATTTAAAGATATATAATGGTCTAAAGGTGAATTTCTCTTGTATATACTATTTTAAAAAATAGGAGAACTTGGTGAGGGGAAACAAAGAATGTTATTTAAGCAACATAAATCAGTTAAAGTTCAAAGAGAAGTTGGTTGAAGGCTGATGTGAGTTTCCCTGTAAAATAAAGTTGTCCCAAATTGCCAAAAGTCACTTTGGACCATGCCTGGCTGCTTATCAATCATGCTCACAGGGAAGTGGAAGGTACTATTTGCCTTCATGAACGCTCTCAGATTTAAGAGCCATTTTCCTATACCATTAAGTGATTTATTCATGTTTAGGTGAATTTCTCGCTATTACCATTATTTTGTGGTTTGAAGGATAATGGGGAAAGCTTTTACAGATGAGACTTTTGTTACATTGCTAGCAATGCTATTCAGTGTGCAGTTTATCCAATGTTCCAAATGCAAGTTTGGAAGTTGTTTGCAAGTGGGAGCTTTTCATTAAAGAAACAATTTCAATTTTTCAAGTAACTTCTAGACTTCAAGGAACTTTCTTCTCTTGGTGATTTCTACTTGGAAAGGCATGTTTGTGTCATGGGTGTCATCAGGGTTATTGTATATTGTACCATTTCTGACTCCATCTTCTAAATGCTATAAATGAGGTTGGTGGAGGTTAACCAAATTGTGTTAGATAATACATGGTCGCATTATCTCAGGTCACATGGTCAGTGAAGCCTGGGAAGCTCAGCTATATAACCTTGTTCCAGAGCCCATCGCTTAAAGAGTATAGTGTGCTTTTAAGTAGGGTTCAGTTCTTGAGTTAAACTCTGGTCTCCCCAAAAGACCCACACCAAATAAGACAGTCATGTTAAAGGGAAACTACAAAATTCAGGTCAATCCCTCTAGATAACTTCCTTAATGTCATTTGAACACAACCAGTTAAGCTTGATAATTTTGCTGTTGAAAGTGGATGGGACTTTGTGCTTGCTAATTCTTTGGTCGTCTCAACAAAATTTTAATATGTCTTCCCAGAATGAAGTGTCCATGTTGAAAAATGAGGTGGCCCAGCTGAAGCAATTGTTGTTAACACATAAAGATTGTCCAATAACAGCCATGCAGAAAGAATCACAAGGGTATTTAAGTAAGTCACTTTTTTATTCTTTAGAAGAAAACTTGTTGTCTCTCGTTTTGCACTGAATTATATTAAAAGGGAAAACAGCAGCATAGGTTGCACACCCAGACAGATTCGTGGGAATTACTGAGAGGTTACAGACGCTTCTGCCAGGGGGGGCTGTCTTTCCTGACCTCTTTCTAAAACCATGCCCAGCAGTCCCCAATGATAACGTCTTGCCTTACTTTCTCTGGCAGCACATTACCAAATTCCAGCTTTGTAGCCAGGAAGTGGGATCCAGTTACTAGTGGCCTGTTCATCCCCCTGAGAAGTCTGCGAGCTGGCAGGCAGCACGGGCTGTATCACTTGCCTCTAGCGTCTCTGGAGATGCTACATGTTGCCCACGGCTGCAAAGCTCCTGGGCTCCCCCTGTTTATCAGCAAGCAATATGGGCGCCCTTCTCCCTGGCTCTGCTTTCTGCTCTTGGAGTGGCAGTAGACTAAATGCTAGATGAATAAGGGGAGGCAGGAGGAACAGTGAATCATGGCTGAAGGTCAATTTGTTTTCCAATGATTTTTTAGATTGAGCAACACAGATTCTCCCACTACATGTGAGTATTTTTCCACACTTCATATACGAATGGCTATCTGAAAATACAAGACAGAGGAATTCACACACCAAGGCTCGAATGCATTTTACGGGGTCATCTTACTGATGGAGAAGTCTGGCTTTTCCTTTAGTTATGAACCTGGGAGGCTTAGCTTGGTGAGCTCAGTTTAAAATTGAAGCTTTGGCCTTACCTTCCAGAAGAAAATGTATGAAGCTTCTCTCCACAATGCTTAATGTCCAATAGCATTTCTATTTGTTCCTGAGGAGGTCCTCCAAGAAAGAGCTATATTTGTCTGTGTTCTCTCCTAGGTCCAGAGAGCAGCCCTCCGGCGAGCCCCGTGCCAGCGTGCTCTCAGCAGCAAGTTATCCAGCATAACACCATCACCACATCCTCATCTGTCAGCGAGGTCGTGGGGAGCTCCACCCTCAGTCAGCTCACGACTCACAGAACAGACCTGAATCCTATTCTTTAAAAGGCATCGGTCAAACCTGGCCTTTGAGAAGAGCTGTAGCATGCTGTACATCCTTTCTCAAAAGGGCATTTTTAGAATTAACTCAGACCTGGAAGACGCCTCAGCCGTTCAAAGACTGGCTTTCATTTTTATAGTTATTATGGAAATGTTGTCTTTTATACTTAGTTATATAAGAAAAAAAGGGAGATATGCAATGAATATCTATCAGCTTGGGAAGCACGTTGGTGCTTCTCTGCAATTTTCTGGTACCAGTTTCTTGTTTATAAACGGAACCTTTCCTGTATATAGCCATGGTTTCATTCTTCCCAGCCCAACCCTTTGCCTGGAACAATGAATCTTGTTAAACTACAGCTTTTAGCCAAAATGAGGTATGCTTAGATGTCGAGCAAGAAGGATCCACACAGTAACTGGGTGGGAAAGCTCATGATGTCATAACTCATGTTGAGTTTGTGCTGTGACATCACCAGAATCTCAGATAAATACATGAGCCTTCCTGAATATTTTTTCTCTTGCTAGAAAAAAAAGAAAAAGAAAAAAAGAAAAAAAGAAAGAAAGAAAGAAAGAAAGAAAGAAAGAAAGAAAGAAAGAAAGAAAGAAAGAAAGGGAGGAAGAAGGAAAGAAAGAAAGAAATTGTGGTCCATCGATATCCCAAGAAAGGCACCAAGCGTCTCAGGCTTTCTCCTTCCTCTCTTGTCCACCTGCTCAGATGTCCAGTACCCATCTCCAATTCCCCTTCCCCGGATCCTTTGTTCATTCTTTGTTCTGACTTTTCTTCTGTTTCCTTTTCTCCCCTTTAGCTTTGCATGTGAAGAAGAAAATAATATTTAAAGAAGAGAAAAAGCAAATCTTGAAACTGTGGGCCTAGCTGCAGTTTAACCCACAGCTGGAGTTCATTCAATTCTTGCCTTTCACAAAATAGCAACCAGGAGATGGTTAATGTGCCTGATTTAATGTTTTTAATAACCAGAGCAAATAAAAGGTGGTTTGATTATAGGTGAAGCACTGTTGAATGCCAGCTGTGGAGACACTAGGGAAAGGGACTTTGTAAGCCCCAACTGTGAAAATTCAAATAAGGATGTGGGCTCTAACATCACACCCTCGAATTACAGCTCGCTTCTATGGCCTGTCTATAATGTTGAAAAATCCATGCATTATATAATAGTTCAGAAGGGCTCTGTTCACTACACAGATTACATTGTTCAATCATCAGCTGCTAATAACCTAAGATTTATTATTATTTTTTTTCTTAAGCCTATGGAACCAGCTCTGCTGTTCTGGTGGGCAAAAGCAAACTCACTCCTGGAGAAACAGAGAGAAAGCAAGGCCAGCGTTTCTCAGGGTCCTCGAAGCCTGCCAGAAGAGTCAGACTCTTTGGCTGCTGACCGAGTCCCATGGAGGTGGCCGGGCTGGTGCACTCATCTGAATAATTCTGATTTATATTTTCAGCAATGTCCATGGACTTGCCCATTATGGAAAGCAGATCAAACCCAAACCACAGTTGTGCCTCCTTGAAATAAGCCATTCTACTTTGTTGGTGTTTTAATATCGTGTTACACAAATAAGAGGGGCTAATGTTTCTCACTAGCAGTCTGGGCATGTGCTGGTGTTTCATCTCTGCCCAAATAATTCACCTCCTAACCTATGTGTGTGTGCACATGGGTATGTGTGCCTGAGTGGTGTGTGTGTGAGTGTGTGTGTGTGTGTGTTAATGAACAATATAGGTTTTAAAAGAACAGTATTTTACAAAAGCTGTCACTTTTATAAAAGTTCAGTAAAGGAAGGATGTACTTTTTCGCTCACTATAGTTTTAAAAATCTATTTTAGAGGGAAAAAAAGAAAATATGAGGGCTCTGAAGCATGATTTTTATAACTAGTTTCAGTTTTATCTAATAACTTACTTTTTAAAAAAATCAATATTTATCAGCATTTTTTTTTCATGGATGCTGTACTTTTGAGAGACAAGTTTGGCTGTCCAGTAAAGCGTAAGGATATATGGCCTAAGAATCAAAAACAAATGAAAAAAAATAAAAAGAGGAAAAAGAAAAATGAGAAAGGAAGAAAGAAGATGGAGCAAACAAATTTCTATTGTATTTTAGGAAAATGTATCATTTTCAAGTATTTTAAATACTAAATTAATATTGTTGTTATTTTTTTTTCTTGATTTCAGCGGTAACAAAATGGTGTAACCTAACTGGCTTGCTAAGAAAGGTGTAAGCCTTAGATTTGAAAGAAGTTAACATTCGTAGCTTTGGTTTAAAAATCAAAGGTAATTTTCTGCAAAATTTCTTCCTTAGATCAAGTAGGTGCCCTGCTCCTTTCAAAAGAGAAGGGGGCAAGCTGGAGTGGCAGAGCTTGTAGCTTTTCTCTGACACTTGCTTTGAGTAAACAGGGCCTTTTTCTCCTGCCTGCATGTATAGCACTTGAAGAAATGATTTTTTTTAATCCACTAGTAATACCACAATGTCCAGGGAGTGATCTGCCACTAAAATGATGATTTTCAGTTTATGTCTCTCCCATCTCTCTACTGAAATACTTAGCTGCTCAGGGGGGCAGCCTTTGCAGTTAAGAACTTGCCTGGGTTTTCCTAATTCAGCGACTCGACAGCTTGACTGATGTGCATTATTTATAGCTCAATTATGTCTGTTTTTTATGCTAAGTAGGCAAGCCACCACACACAGCAAACCTTTCCCAACATATAATTAGAATAAACTGCCTTCTTGTTATGGGCAGGCCCTTTAGGTGTGTTTGTTTGCAGTATGGACAGAGTCAGGGAGGATGCCAGCTTGCTGTCAGTCAAGAGAAAAACTTCTGGTGAACTCTAGTTCCTGGTTTATCACTAGTGAAGATTCCACAGAAAGGTTCTTCCTTCACCAGATCTCAGAGCCTGCCTAAAGTGACCCTTGCACTGTCTGTCATACACCAGCGACTTTAGGGGAGCATCTCTTTAATTCCTTTTCACTGTCTTCCCCCATCAGGCTACCAATGTCAGCCATGCAGACGTTCAGGAGTCAGTGGTAACAGTCTTCAGAGTCCCCCTCCCATCCAAGGAGGGAAGGAAAGTTCTAGTAACACTGCCTCATATTCCTGTGTGGCTCCATTATCAAAAGATCTGCTTCTGAAGTCCCTGCCAGCCTCCTGGGCACTACTCCAGTGCCTCCCTGCCTAACACGCTGAGAGCTGGAAACTTAGTACACATTCTCACTCACCGAGAGAAAGGCTTTGTACACTTAGGTGTCTTAGAGACACCTTTCTCAATCTATGGTGCTGGGATAGCTAGACTGCAAGACCCAGCCCTGGATGAGTGTATACTAATCTCAAAGCTAGATAATGAGTTAGTTATGGTCTGTTGGTGCTGGTGACCCCAGTCACCTCTTTACCCACATGTCAACATATGCAAGTTGCCATATTAAAACAACCAGAAGTGTGTGTCCTGCTGCAGTGTGTGTCATAAGAATTGGGGTGACTTACTCAGCTAGTACTCCTAGGAACTTATCTAATCAATAAATAAAACGCAGCGGGTATTCCAAGAGAAGTGTCAGTAAGGAATGTTCAGCTGACTGTTGCCTGCTAGTAAAGCAAATAAATTATAGTGGCTTAGAGTTTGCCATTAAAATCATAAACCAGCTTCAATAATAATAATAAAAATCCAGCCCTTAGCTGGGCTTACTTTTTAAGCACCAGTAACTGCTATAAAACTAGCCTTTCAGTTAGAATAGAATATCCTTCCTTTTGAGCAAAAACCATCTAAGAAAATATATATGTATGTATGTATGTACAGTGGGATTCAAGGACCAAAGCAAAATTTGAACAGGAATCTATTAATTTAGAATGTATAAGATATTTATTAATAAATGTTATTTTAAACATTCCATTTGAACAGTATTCTTCTGTAGGCTCTATGTGTCTTGAAAATGTCAGTCCATAATCACCTGCCCTAGTTAGGGTGCCGTTTTCAGGGTCTTGGATGGCTCTTTCTACCATTTGCTGGAAGCCCGTGCTTAGATCTTTGTGCGTCTTTTGAGGCTTGTTTACTGCTCTGTGAGTTATTAGTTAATCTACACTCGGAGCAAGTTTAAAATAAAAAAAACACGTATTTCTTCTTTTCATTTTTTTTTTAACATAAGCTCGTTCATTTAGGAAGCAAATTCAACAAAAGGGCATCAGTGACGGGAACCAGAGCGTCTTCGGCTTCTCTTTTACGCTTAAAATGCCTTCCTCCCAGCTTTTCTTCACTGCATGCCCTTCTCCAAGAACACCCAGCATCCCTCAGCTCCCTGGAGCTGCCTGGGCCCTCCAGAAAACCAAGGAACAGAGTGTGCAGCTTTAAGCTTTTAAGCTCCGCCCCCAGCCCGCCCCCAGCCCCCAGCCCCACTGTATCAGAAGGGAAAGGGAAGCATCTTCCCCAGGATAAACCTGTGCCTATGTGACAGCAGTGATTTAGAACCTCTTTTCTCCTTTTTTAAAAAATAATTTATATTTTAAAGTTGCACTTTAGCTCTTCAATCCCTTCCCTTTTCTCTGCCTCTGTCTAACCTCCTTCTTGACCTTTAGGCTTGCCTTGGCCCCACTCTGTTACAACTCCTCTGTGAAGGCTCTCTGCTGCACCACTTCAAACGCCTTCCAGAAAATTTACGCCCCGTTAATGTGTGCACACTCATTGCTGGAGTGGCTAAGCAGAGCGTCTCACAGCCTTGTGAAACCTGCTAAAGAATGTCAAGAAGAGCCAGTACACAATATGGTTTGTCCCCTTGATCTCTTTCTTCCTTGTATTGTTTTAGAAATGCAATGGACCTGAGGCAGCCACTAAGCTATGCTTACGAGTTTTCTATCTCATCCTCCAAACCAAAGTGTCCTGAATAAGCCAGGAGACTTATCTTCTCGTGTGCCACGATGCACACTTCACTGTTGTCCTAGTCATAGTGTTTGTAAGGCTGCTGAAGCAACAGCGGCCCTGTCCTCCCATTCCTAGGTCTCAAAAATACAATGTTGCCTTGTAGCAT